CTTAATTTGCATCTATGTATTATGTATTTCCTGCACATGCTGCTCTTTGAGCTTGTCTGTGGAGCAGGAACTATGGTTTGGATAAATATTCCAAACAGTGTGTACCATTTTGAGATATTTCTACAATTTGAGATTTCTTTTGCCATGCTGTGCACACTGTTGTGAAAAGCAAGCATGGGTTTGCAGGTACCCAGCATGTTGGGGCAAACGGACAAAATAATGTAAAGCATTAGTATGTGGGAATGTACTTCTCTGTTGTAATAGTGAAACTGTATTTGATGGTCGATAGAGTAGTGAGTTTTGAAAATGTTTCCTTTTGTTTTTTCCCTCACAAACAGGATCCCACCTTTGCTGCAAGTGATTGGTGTGAAGAAGCAGATGACTGGGGAGGCCATGATGAAGCAGGACCTCCGGCGTTCACATCCCTTCAGCTGCTTGGCTTAAACGAAGCGGTGATGAGCAACTCCTTGCCTAGAGAGGTGGAGTGTGCATCCCGGTTCCAAGAGCTCCGCTTGTCCGAAGCTCCGGACACGCCAGCTCCCCCGAGTCCCTGCCCTCCTGTTGGGGAGGGAGCAGCAGTGGCTGGTTCAGCCCCTGCGTTCCAGCCCTTTTACGTTAATGTTGTGGATGAGGAGGACTACGCTGGTTTCCTTGACACAGATCATGCAGATGAGCTTTTAAGGGAGTATCAGCAGAGAGAGGGTGTTGATTTGGAGCAGCTGATGTCAGAAAGGTGAGAGCAGGTTTAGATTTTGCTGAAGGGGTGCTGAAGGGGTTGCGTAGTTTCCTGTGTGCTGGCTGATAGACTACATGTGATTCTCGGTACATCTGAGTCCTTTTTGTTCATAACTGATTCCACCAGGAATCAATGATGTGTGGTACCTTGCAGGAGGATCTCAAGAATGAGCACAGTTTTGTTAAAACTTGAAACTTTGCGTTATTCAGAGATGTACCTGTTTCTGAGATGCTGAACAACTGGAACCTCCTTGAGCTCTGGATGGTCTAGTGGACCTTCAGTCTCTTAACATGAAGTGTGGCTTAAACCACAAGTTTGTATCGTCAGTTTGACTTTTCAGCATGCTACTTTTCCTTCAATTGTATTTGAGATTTTAAAAGTATAACTACTTGGAAATTGATCTAATCATGGACTAGAGACTGGGATAATGGTAACATGAATATAGAGTAATATTGCTGATTTACAGAACGCTCACTAATGAAAACTTGGTTGGAAGTTTCGTTTTCGTCTTTCTCCATAGTTTTGCAGGTGAAGGTGACAAGGAAAAATATGAGAAGAGTGAGGTCAAAAGCAGGGATCACACATTTCATAAATTTATGAAAAGAATATCTGTCTGTCCTGAACAGATTATAAGGTATGATGATCTCTTTGTTGTAAAAGGGAGATATAGTCTGTAGTCATGGATTGCTAGTACATCAAAATAAATTATATCATTGGAAAGATATTTTTTCTTATGAAAACATTTGGGCACAGCACTACTAGCACGTATGCTACCCAGACTTAGTCACTGGCTAAATACAAAGTAGAAGACAAGAAACAAAGCAGGGTCAGAGAGCATGGACCTGCCTATGGGAGGATGTCCAACCTAAGCCCTGACAAGAGCCACGTTGTTGCTTGAAGACCCACTGAAACCTAGGTATGGAGTTTTCCAGAGGCAGTCTTGAGGGGAAACCATAAGGCACAGTGGGATGCTCTTGTGAGAATATTTTCAAGGTCATCTGCTCCTCTGAAGTTTGGTCATGTTATTGTCATTGCTTATATCTCAAGCCTCTTTATTGTGCTGTCAGCACAACATGGAATCACCAGTTGGCATTCAGTGGAAACTGTATTTCATCATGGTACTTCTTATATGCAGAGCTATAATAGCCCTCAGCAATATTTTTTTTGTGTGTCAGTATGTACAAGGCTTGTGAAGGCTGATCAGTGTTGGATATACTTAACCGCCAGCAATGAGGGTTCTATTTCCAGGAAAGTATAGTTTGTTTGATAAAATACAAGTCGGGTACAGGATATTTTGTAATATCAATTCAAAACTTTTTTTTTCTTTTTTTTTAATGTAGCGCTCTCTACAAGTATCTCCAAGTGTTGACCTTCCAAGAATTTTCCCTTCCCCATCTTTAATCTTGAATGACTCTCCTTAAACTTAGCAATGATTGTGGTGCCTAACCTTTTTGTGTGTGTGTGCTTCAAGCAAGCCCTGAGGTTTCAGAGAATCTTGAACACTGACACCAACATTTATGTTTTGCTGTGAAATTTAGATTATACATATATGTATATATATATGTATTTTTTATTTTCTTCCCCTAGATACTCCTGGGGAGGGGAGCCTCTATTCATAACATCTCCTCCAGCCGACATTAACAAAGATATTCCAGCCTGCAGTAACTGTGGAAGTAACAGAGTGTTTGAATTTCAGCTTATGCCAGCACTGGTCAGCATGCTTCAGAGTGATACAGGTGTGGACTTCTCTTGTTTTAGCTGAACACTAGAAACTGCCAGCGTCTTGGTATAATCATTATGCTGAATCATTGTACAGAACTTTGAACTATACCCCCAAAAATGACCACTAATTTAATGTAAGTGACCAACTGAGTAATGAAGTTATGCAAGTCTATACATAAATGCAAGGACAGTAATAAGTAAAAGCCACCTGCATGGATCGATTTCCTAATACACGTCTTCATTTTGTTTTTAGATCTATCAGTGGAGTTTGGGACTGCTATAGTTTACACATGTGAGAGGAGCTGTTGGCCAACAAATCATCAAACCCCTCTTGAAGAATTCATTTTTGTACAAGAAGACCCAGATCAGAAATTATTTAAATAAAACATATTACAGCACATGTATGGAAAGTCTATTTTTTGACTTCACTTGAGCATGTGTAATTATGTCAGGGTTTTTTTGCTAGAAATGAAAAATGAAATCCATGTCATGTGGGGCTTGTTTCCAAGAATAACAAATTGCTTGAAGTATCTATAGCATGCCTTGTAAAAGGTAGTGGTGTAGAAAATTGCTCACTTTGTTTAAACATGCTGAATGGATATTGTTTTGTGATGCTGGTTACACTTTTAAACATTTTGAGGAGGAAAGTGAAGGAGAAAGATTGTCCAATTTAGTTACTTTTTATATTGCTAGGTACTTACTCTACTACTCATGCTATGGGGCTGGGTTCCAGTTTGTAGAAATTAAATATCAGAAATTTAATGCCTTATTTTAAAAAACAAATTGGAAACAGCAGAGTGCTGGGCTTGTTACCTCACTTGCAAGTGGCTCACGCTGCTTTAGTTAAAGCAGCCCCCTTGTGGCTTAGGGCTAAATTGCTGTGTTTAAATTGACTTAAACTACTCCTCCCTTAAGTGATGGTCCCTAAAGATTTGTACAGACTCATCGCCAGGGCATCAACACTGCTCCACTGAGCACGAGTGGGAGGAAGCTCTAAGGGATCCCTCAGCAGCCCCAGGAAACCCGCGTCCTCCTTCCCAG